GGTTTTGTCTGGCTGTTTTCATCACGGAAGATTTGAGCAGAAGTTGTGAGCAAAATATACCAGCAATGAGAGTTTTTTTTTTTTTTTTTTTTTTTGCCTTTTTTTTTTTGGTATTAGTTATGGCACTTGAGCATGTGTGGAACATTCTGTATGACTGACCTAGCTGAGAGATGGCAGGGTAAAGAATCACTGGAAGGTTTGGCTTGGAAGGGAGCTTAAAGCCCATCCAGTCCCATCGCTGCCATGGGCAGGGACATCTTCCAGTACCCCAGGTGGATCCAAACTCCACCCAGCCTGGCCTTGGACATTTCCAGGAATCCAGAGGCAGCCACAGCTGCTCTGGGCACTCTGTGCTAAGGCCAGCCCACCCTCCCAGCCAGGAATTAATTCCCAATATCCACCTAAGTCTACCCATTTTCAGCTTAAATCCATTCCTCCTTGTCCTGTCCCTCCATCCCTTGTCCCGAGTACCTCTCCAGCTCTCTTGGAGCCCCTTTAGGCACTCTGAGAAGCAACATTTTGGTCAATTCTATTCCTAGTCCCATAATTAATAACACCAAGGGCAGCAGAGCCAGCTCCAGGCTGCCACAGGACCCTCTGGAGAGTTCTCCACCAGTGCTGGACCCCTCCAATGAGGAATTCTCCCCACTGTGCTGCCAGAGGTCATCCCTTCATCCTCACTTGGGTATCAGTGCTATTAAGTCTAAATTTAATTAAAATTGTCCCCACACTCATGGAGACTCTGTCCCAATCCTAACAGAGCCTTGATGGCCACAGTGGATGGACACTTAAGCTGCAGACAGCCACAAATTTGGGGGAAATTATGGGATTCCCCCACCCCAGCACACTGCTGGGAATTGTTACAATCCACCCTTTACACGAAACACTATTTGCATAATTTGGAGTGTTTCCTCCAATAAATATTTACTCGGTTTTAACTCAGCAGGAATATTTTCTCGCAGAATTCTCGTGGATCTGGCTAATATTCAGATTTCCATTCCGTGACAAAACTTTCGCAACACCTCAACTTTGTTTAACGAGCACTTTTTTAATAGCTGAATGGCCGCTTCAAAACTTCAAAATGTGCCTTTCAAAATGAGGGGCTGGGAATCCAGGACACTGTGTGGGTATTGATCCTCTCAAGCTCAGCCATCTGTCTCATTTTCCCCTCGGTTCTAGGGAACAGCCCCAAAACAGGATGGGGAACAGCAATACTGTAAATAAAAGTACAGCACAACTTATCTGTTATTCGAGGATATGGCTTTGAAAGCTCTTCTGCTAAATTCTGGAGAAAATGGGAATGTTTGAGGGATGGGATGGGATGGGATGGGATGGGATGGGATGGGATGGGATGGGATGGGATGGGATGGGATGGGATGGGAGAGGATGTTGGATCAGCACCTGTTTTGTGCATTCCAGCTATGGAATGTGCCAGAACCACCCATAAGCTCCTTTTAACAGAGGATGAGAGCAGCACAGAGAGCTGTAGGAGAGTGCAGAACACGAGCTGAATTGGTGCTTACTGTTCGCTCGGGAGCGAGGAGTTCCTGGACATGGTCTTTGGTGAGAGGTCATAGTCGCTGTCGGATCTGTAGAGGAACGACTCGCGGCGCTGGCTGTGGCCCGGGAACGTCGTGTGCAGGACGAGTCCCGACGAGGAGCTGGCCTGCGGGTCCAGCGGGCTGCGCCCCGGCGACGGGCCATTCTCCACATCGAAGCTGCGAACGGAACACACACCGCGGGTCACACGCTGCCACAAGAGGGCTCGCAGGGCATGTGTCACCTCAGCGTGGCTGTCTGCCACTGTGTCACCTCAGTGTGGCTCCCACCGTGTCACCTCAGCGTGGCTCTCTGCCACCGTGTCACCTCAGCACGGCTCACGGTGTCACCTCGGTGTGGCTCTCTGCCACCGTGTCACCTCAGTGTGGCTCCCACCGTGTCACCTCAGCACGGCTCACCGTGTCACCTCAGTGTGGCTGTCTGCCACTGTGTCACCTCAGTGTGGCTCCCACTGTGTCACCTCAGTGTGGCTCCCACTGTGCCACCTCAGTGCAGCTCCCACCGTGTCACCTCAGCACGGCTCCCTACCACTGTGTCACCTCAGCACGGCTCACCGTGCCACCTCAGTGGGGCTCTCTGCCACTGTGTCACCTCAGTGTGGCTCCCACTGTGCCACCTCAGCACGGCTCCCACCGTGTCACCTCAGCACGGCTCCCTACCACCGTGTCACCTCAGTGCGGCTGTCTGCCACCGTGTCACCTCAGCACGGCTCACCGTGTCACCTCAGTGTGGCTGTCTGCCACCGTGTCACCTCAGTGTGGCTCCCACTGTGCCACCTCAGCACAGCTCCCACCGTGTCACCTCAGTGTGGCTCTCTGCCACTGTGCCACCTCAGTGTGGCTCTCTGCCACCGTGTCACCTCAGTGTGGCTCCCTACCATCAGGTCACCTCAGAGTGGCTGTCTGCCACCATGTCACCTCAGTGAGGCTCACCGTGTCACCTCAGTGTGGCTCTCTGCCACTGTGTCACCTCAGTGTGGCTCCCACTGTGCCACCTCAGCACAGCTCCCACCGTGTCACCTCAGCACGGCTCCCTACCACCGTGTCACCTCAGTGCGGCTCTCTGCCACTGTGTCACCTCAGCACGGCTCACCGTGTCACCTCAGCACAGCTCCCACCGTGTCACCTCAGCACGGCTCCCTACCACCGTGTCACCTCAGTGTGGCTCTCTGCCACTGTGTCACCTCAGTGTGGCTCCCACTGTGTCACCTCAGCACGGCTCCCTACCATCAGGTCACCTCAGTGNGTGTGGCTCCCACTGTGTCACCTCAGCACGGCTCCCTACCATCAGGTCACCTCAGTGTGGCTCTCTGCCACTGTGTCACCTCAGTGTGGCTCCCATTGTGCCACCTCAGTGTGGCTCTCTGCCACTGTGTCACCTCAGTGTGGCTCCCACCGTGTCACCTCAGTGTGGCTCTCTACCACCGTGTCACCTCAGTGAGGCTCATCGTGTCACCTCAGCACAGCTCATTGCATCACCTCACCGTGGCTCCCACTGCATCACGTCACCGTGGCTCCCACCGTGTCACCTCAGCACAGCTCACTGTGTCACCTCAGCACGGCTCCCACCGTGTCACCTCAGCACGGCTCCCACCGTGTCACCGGCCTGCGGCCATCAGAGCCACTCACCGGCCCCGAGTTTCTCCCGAGTGCAAGGAGGACCCTGTGTGACCATAAACATTTACCCCAGAGGCTCCTGTGCTGGCTGCCTCTGCTCATGCCTCCTTCAGCACGGGTGTCGAGCAGCTCAGCGCAGCTCTCAGCAAGAGCACGCAGCAGCTGAAGAGGGCAGGGATAGATCAGAGATAATGGAGAGTCCATCCCTGGCACAGGTGCCCAGAGCAGCTGTGGCTGCCCCTGGATCCCTGGCAGTGCCCAAGGCCAGGCTGGACACTGGGGCTGGAGCACCTGGGACAGTGGGAGGCGTCCCTGCCATGGCAGGCAATGGAATGGGATGGGCGTTAAGTTCCCTCCCAGCCCAAACCATTCCAGGATTCCATTATTCTAAACACCCCACTCCACCCTCAATGCCTTTTGCACAAGCCCTGGGGTTCTATTTGCCAAACCTCACTTCAAGCCTTACGAGCACAACAAGGACTAAAGGCACCATAACATGACAGCACTCTCCAGCCCAGCCTTGTTCCCATCTGCTCCGGAGCCAAACTTTTGAAATCCTGCAAGATTTGCAAGCACTTGGCAGTTATGGGAGCTAGATGCCCAAACCATGTTTTTAGCCATTCAAGGTATCAGTTCAGTGAATTTTAAACATCTATGCTGTAAAACGAAGGGCTGTTTAAAAACTAAAAAAGAAATCTAAACTTTTTGTCACCTTTTCCATTTTACACCCACTTTCTTGTGGTTTCATAGCTTGGCTGCTGTGACCCGTGGCTGAAGTCACCCTGGCCACTCCAGCAATGACACCCCTCATAAACACACTGAGAATGAGCAGGTTGGCCTCCTTTGGCCTGATGGAAACACCAGATGTGTGACCATGGCCCGGGAAGCCAAGTGAGGTACGGCCACGCTCAGGAGGAATTTCCTTGCCTTTGGAAGTCAGCTTTTGTCTCTTGCTGCAGTGCCTCATGCCATGCTGGATGCTGTCCCACCAGGACACCGGGCTGTGGCTCCTGCTGTGCCTTTCTCCACCCCTCCACTCCTTAATCCAGAGGATTCCCTGAGCACAGTGGCAGGGAAGACCCCAGCTCTCCCTCCTCTCTGCACAGAGAGCTTCAACTGCGGCAGGAGGAGCACATCAAGTGTGAACGCCTGAACTTGCCTGGATCCTGCAAGTTTTCCAGATTTCTACATCACTGGGATGAACTGCTGGCTTGGTGAGAAGCCTCCACAGCCAGTGCCCAGCTGGGAGCACCATGGCTGCTCCAGCTCCTGCTGCCCGCTTCCCCTGTTCCCCGTTCCAGCACCTGGCATGCTGCCGTACGGATCACGTGGTTAGTCCAACTGAAAAGCGCTTTTATTCCTTTCCTCAAGTTCAATGTGCAGCCACACCAGTGCTCCTCAGGCTCCTTTTCCTTGGCCTTGATCCAGCACTCAGCCACCCATGTGCTCAGCCAGAAGTTAACAGAAAATTCCCCAAAAAGTGACTGATCCCAGAGTCTGGAGTTACCTCTGCCAGGACTGAACAGGCGCTCCCAGAGGTACAGCCTGTGAGCAAGATCCTCAAACCCAGGAATAACTCTGCTGGCACTGCTTTTTAATAGGTACAAGAACTGGAATATGGGAAAATATTCCCCTTGGATGATCCAACATCAGGAAAATGTGACCCAAGATACAGAGAGCAAGACCTTGTGTTTGTCACCAGTTGCTCCTGGCTTGCACAACACCCACCTGGAACTGTGCCCTGATGCCAAAAGTATCCCCCAAACAAACACTTGCTGGAATTGGTAAGAACTTCAATGGGATTGTAAAGTTGCCCTCTCAGACCTGCCTTTCCCACTATTTTTTTTCTGTTGGAAGTTAACTGCTGAGCTCTGCTGGAAAAACTTCATCACTGTGTTCAGAACACTGCACTGACTGTGAGATCCTCTCTGCAGTTTGCACACCCCACAGGCTTTCTCCAAGTGGAAAAAAGCTGCATTTGCCCACTTGAAAATAAGGATGGCAGAATACAAAGCACAAAACCCCCAAAATTTCCATTCCAGTTTATCCCCAAGTAACAGCACTCATAGTGAGACACACCCCATTTGTGATCTAAATATGGGCCAGAAATTTGATATCTAAGGTCCTTAAAAATCTTCCAGATCCCTGTCTCCATAAGAGATCTCTCTAGCACATGTGGGAGCTGCCAGCATTCCCTGCCTGACTCCAACCTGTGTTATCAGATCTATTTACCAGCATTTTCCAGTTCGGGGAAATCCCTTCCCACCAAGGGATTCCAGGGAACTGAGCCCTGCCAGAGTTGAACAGGCTCCAAAGGAGGAAAGGTGACAGCAGCACCACAAGAGCTGCCCAGGGCAGTGGTGGAGCCTCCATTCCTGGAGGGATTTAAAGCTGTGCAAATGCGGCACCTGGGGACATGGTCAGAGGTAGGAATGGATGGATTTGATTATCTTGGAGGCCTTTCTGGAGTGATTCCACCATCCCAGTGGGATGGGCCCTAGCCCAGGCAGGGCTGTCTCCCAGCGGTGTGGGGCAGGGATGGAAGGGGC